TTTTCTCTCACTCTCCTAACCTTAAGCCACTAGTAAACAATAGAAGAAGAAGAAGAAAATCAAAGTGTTCTAGGAGGAGTCTAGTCAAGCATTTCTCTAAGGGTATAAATTCTAAACCCTTTCTTTCTTATGTTCTAGCAAAGTTTGAGATTTATAAATATTCTTCTCAAATTTTCTTATACTCTTCTAATTCCAAGTCATTAACAAACCTTAGAGGAAGAAGAAGGTGATCAAGTGTTCTAGGAGGAGCCTAACCAAGGATTTTCTTCAAGGGTATAAATTCTAAACCTTTCTCCTTTATTTTCCTACCAAAAATTAAGTTGTGGATTAAGGATGTAATTTGTGGTTCTTGAGAAAATAAGTTGTAATAAGGGTGTGTGAGTTTTATGTTGGTTTTGTGTGTTTTGAGGTTAGTTTAATTAGTATTATGTGGTATGTTTAGGTTTGGTTTAAGTTTGCTTATTTTGGGTTGTAGGAAAAATTTTTCGGTTACTTTGAATGCGAAAATGAGACCCTAGAGCGAGATTTTTCAGCATTTCTTAGTTTGAACTTATGGTTCTCGATGTTTTAAACATTTTTCTGTGACTGTGATAAAATCCAATTTTAACTCTAAAAGCAGTCCAACACAGTTTCGAAAAAAAAACAGCAGCCACTGTTTTCAGCAAACGAGGCATTTAAAGGCTGAATTTCAATTTTCTCCAAAAATGACATTTTTAGATCTCGACGAGACGAAGAATTTTTGCGAAGAACATATTTTTGAAATCCAACTCTAAGATGTAGTAAAACACAGATTTCAGAAACTGTACAGTTTTAACTAAACAAAACTAACATAGTGTGATTTTTAACAAATGGTTATCAAATAACCGGAGATGTAATTTCAGTAACATACTATGGTGTTAAATCTCGTTTTAATGGAAATATTTATAAAGAAAGTTTTTAAGAAAAATGATTCCTTTTAAGAACTTAATGGTTTATCGAGCAAATCATCCCAACGAGTACCTACGAGCCCAATACGTTAGGTCCTTAGAATTTTGAAGATTTGATGTGGGTCTAACACCCGTATTAATTCAAGAGACCCCGTGAGTTTAAATTTCAACAGCCTAAGAGTTAGAACGTAGTGAATAAGTTTCTAGGCCGAATTGGGCCATAATATCATTATAAGTCCAATGAGGTAGATTACGGAGAATAAGTCACTAGATTGGGTAATCGATTTTCAATCTAGGCAAGTAGATGATAAGGGCAATTAAAAGATATAAGATTTTGAGGATTTAATAAATTGATCCTTATAGTAAAATTATCCTTCAGTAAATGAGAGGAATACATGCCTTAATGAAATGGTTAGATTTCCTTTATAAGCTGCTAAAGTAGAATAGCAAACGACAGTTAATCTCACACTCTCAATGGGTGTTCATTTTCATAAGTAAGCAAGTAAGAGAGTAGGTTGTTTGGTGAAAAGAAAATAATAGCTCTGTAAAATTAGGTAAGTAGGAATCTCGCCTACAATATGAATATATTTTAAAGAAAAGTTACACATTAGTTGAATTTTAAAACGTAACATCACCTCCTTTCAAACTTTGTTCCGTTAACAAGTTTTCTTCTTCTGTTACAATGAGTGACGGAATTCGCCATGTGTCAGGCACATAACCCATATGAGGAGGATAATTCTAAACTAATTTTGAAACCAGATCTCTTGCACATAAATTTTCTCACTGTTAAGCCACTTTCACAATTTGAAAAAAAGGAAACTCCCTCTCTCTAATTTTTTTTTCTCTTCCTCTCTCTCTTTCTCAATTATTGCTCTATCTCTGAGAAAAAAAAAATCTCAAACCTGAGAAACTAGATCTCCACCTACAACATCGATGGGATTGGGTTGCCGAGGCCGGACAAAGAATCATGATGGGGCTGGAGAGAGAGAAGAGCAGGGTTGGGCGCAATGGTGGTGCGTCGCAGGAGGGCTAGGCTTGCCGGGGCTGGAGAAGGAGGAGCTCGGGTCGCGTGACGATGGTGGGTCATGGTGCGCGATGGATTTGGGTCGCTGAGGTTGAAAAGGGAGGAGACGCAGTGAACGACGATGGTTGGGCTCACTAAGTCAGATAGAGATAGACAAGATCGAGGGGGAGAGAGGATTTTCTTTGTTTTTCTGATTATTTTTTATATTTTCAGAGAGTATAAGCGTAATTGCACTTTTAATTCTTACTAAATAAGTGACACGTGTAATTCATCACTCATTGTAATAGAAAGGAAAAACTTGTTAACGAAACAAAGTTCGGGGGAGCGGATGTTACGTTTTAAAATTCGGGAGACAAAGTGTTACGATGGTCATAGTTCAAGGAGAATTTGTTAAATTAATTCTTATTTGACATGTAAATTCTATTATTTTATTTTTTGTTTAAATAATAATATATAATATTAGTGGAGATCTCATTATGAGAAAAGGTGGTCGTAGAGAGAGATGTCGATAATGAGAGAGATGAGCTGTAGAAAGATAGTTAGAGAAGAAATAAGAAAAAAATAAAAATTATTTTCATAAATACTCTTTAAATTATATACTATATTTTAAAGTATCCTTTAATTTATCAAAACAGTGCAAAACACTTTTTGATATGTAAAAAAAAATTATTCTTTTTGTCTATTTCTATCCATACTACTAACAGTATGGTTGACTCATCATTAAGCATTAATGAATGATATTAAATTCTAATTAAATTTAAAAAATAATTGTAAATATTAAAACAATAATAAATTTAAAAAAACCCCTTAATTTTAAATTGAATTAAAAAAATAATTAAGGGCTGATTCTTTTGAGTGAAAAACTTAAAAAATGCAACTTAAGTTACAATTTTATTTGATTCATGTTCTTTTAAAATTAAATTTGAGTTCTCGAGTTTAAATTTTTCCTTCAACTCGAGTTCAGAAACTCGAACTCAAATTAATAAACATTATTTTTTCTATTCTTAAAAATACTATAACTTTTTCGTTTTAATTCTGATTGAGATAATTTTTTTCTATGTGGTGACAACGAAAAAATGAATAAAACTTGACCCATATACCCTATTAACATTTTTCATTAACATTAAATTTTTATTAAAATACTATTTAAATACAAATTTAAGTTTTGACTCACTCAAATACAAATTCAAAAAGATTTCTTATCTCAAACTATAACTCAAATGTACACAACCAAACACAAACTTAAGTTACAAGTTCAACTCAAATTATATTCAAATTCAACTAAAAAATTATACGTTAAACTCTAAAAAGAAGAAATCCTTATCATCCCCCAATGAAGAACAGTGAAAATCTCAAGAAAAGCAAAGCTTCACCTCCTTCGACTGTTCTTCTATGGTGGTTGAGGTTCTGTACACTGTACAGTATGAATATTTTCTCTCCGCATCAGTTATTATACAAACAGGTATCTATATATGCATTAAGCACTCGTGAGGGATTATTCTCCTCTGGGAGTTTTTTTATTTTGGTCCCCCTAACCCACAGACTTGAGCATCCGCATTCTCGTCGCCGTTCGTCTTGCTCGAGATGGTGGGATCTCGTCGGGAATGTCTGCGGATTAGTCTTGGGTGAGATTTGAACCGAAAACCAGGTCAGCAATGGGCGAAAGGCGACGGAGGAGACGAGGGTTACAGCAGAGGCCACGAATGAGAGATCGCCATTGTCGTTGTTTGGTTGAGGAGTTTGGGCGGAGAAGCCCACTTGTACGTCGTTGATTTGGTCGGATCGAGAGGTTTTGGGTTCGCCGCTCCAAAAAGGTCTTTTTCGATATATATATATATATATATATATATTTTTTTTTTTGAGGGCTTATTATCAGCAAATAGTATATTATGATATCGACGATGCTTTCATAAATGCGTTACGATTATCAACGGAGGAATCGGGATTATCTTTCTCTTTCTTGTTGACTACCAAAGAATTATAGTCCACGGGCCTCTTGTTGGTCACTTTCTCTCTCCACAACACAGTTTTTAGTGTCTCTCTCAGCTTCCTCTGTTTCCAGGAAAATCGCCATCAAAACTTCTTGCGCACCACGTTATCTTTCGCCCAAGAAATCCCACCTTTTGACTCTCTCGTGTTGACTAAAACTCTCTCCACAACACAGTTTTTAGTGTCTCTCTCAGCTTCCTCTGTTTCCAGGAAAATCGCCATCAAAACTTCTTGCGCACCACGTTATCTTTCGCCCAAGAAATCCCACCTTTTGACTCTCTCGGGTTGACTAAATTTAGGGCCGTACATAGATTGAATTCGTGCGGGTTATAATTATTTTTATTTCGGTGTGGATTGTCCATATTTAATCTTACCGATATTAAAAAAATTTCACAACTTAATAATGTTTAGATTAGGTTGAGATGGGACAGGTGGGTTGGGTGGTTAGGTTCATCATTAAAGAATTAAAGTTCAATCTAACATTTAAAATTCATCATCAAATAAAAATAATAATTCTAACATTTAAAGTTTATTATCAAATAATATTAATCATCAAATAAAAATAATACTAATAATTAAACATAATTCTAACATTCAAAGTTTATTATCAAATAAAAATAATACTGATTAAATTCATCATCAAATAGATAATAATTTAAAGTTCAATCCAACATTAAATATGAAGCAAAGTAGTCTATTCAACATCAAATATAAAACAAATATAAATTAGAGGCTTAATTTAAATTTATCTAAAGTAAGCACTGTAACAACAACTGTTCTTATCAGTTTACACTCATAGGCTCCTTATCAGGTATGTTTGTACAGATTAAATTGAGATGTGCGGGTTATTATAGGCCCAATTCACAAACTGTTTTAAACACCTCAGGCCAAACATTTAATGGGCCAAAAAATAAAAATAAAATTATAAATTACCTTTTTTGAATTGAATTAGGATGGAGTGAGTAGGGTGCCCTAACTAAAACTCTTCCAGCATTATTATACGACATAACTATATATATAGACACACGTATACACACTCGCACACACAAAATATTCATTCTTTCACTTGCATGTGGACAGAACAAAAAGCTCCACAAGCAATGGAATTCATAGCTTCACCGAAACAGGTTATGCCAAGCTTTTTCTCACACTCTTTCTCATACCCAAGTACTGATTTCCTCTTTAAACCAGTTTTCCTTCGTGGGGTTTCTGGTTCATTGCATTTAGTTTTGCTTTTTGTGTTGTTTTCTTCGTGGGCGTGTCATAAATTCAAGAGGGGTAATAGGGAGGCTCCAAAAGAGAGGTGCAAAAACACCACAAGTTTGTATTATAAACAGACTTTAATTTTTTGCCTTGGTCTTTTTGCGTTTAACTTAGTTTTGTGTTTATTTAGTAGCTTTTATTGGTATAGGAATGGTTGGTCTGAAGAAAGGCTAGTGACCCTTTTGGATTTAGCCATTAGAACAGTTTCTTGGGGTGTAATTTCTGTTTGTTTGCACACCCAATTTTCCAATTTTGGCAACTCAAAATACCCGTATTTTTTAAGAGTTTGGTGGGGTTTCTACTTCTTTCTTTCTTGTTATTGCCTTGTCATTGACATTGTTCTATACAAGAAACAAGTTTCCTTAGCTGTTCAGTCCTTAGTTTTAGATGTTGTTTCGGTTATTTCGGGTTTGTTTTTCGTATTCGTCGGGGTGTTCGGGAAGGATGAGGATGAAGATACCCTTCTTGGAGAACCCCTTTTGAATGGTAATAGTGGAGAAGATAGTGATTTAGTGTCAAATAAGTCCAAAGGGGAAGCAACTGTCACCCCCTATTCGAATGCCGGAATTTTCAGCATTCTTAGTTTCTCTTGGATTGGTCCTCTAATTGCCGTTGGCAATAAGAAGACTTTGGACCTTGAGGATGTTCCTCAACTGGATGTTGGAGATAGTGTGGTTGGAATTTTTCCGACTTTAAAGAGTAGGATCGAGTCAGATTGCGGAGGAGTTAACCGAGATACCACGCTTAAGCTGGTGAAAGCGGTTTTCTTGGCTGTTTGGAAAGACATTCTTTGGACAGTCTTGGTTGTGCTTTTGTACACACTGGCATCCTATGTCGGCCCTTATCTTATTGACACTTTTGTTCAATACCTTAACGGGCGACGGGAGTTCAAAAACGAGGGTTATATGTTGGTTTCTGCATTTTGCGTGGCAAAGATCGTGGAGTGCCTCACGCAGAGGCAATGGTTTTTCAAGACGCAACAGATTGGAGTTAGGGTCCGCGCAGCACTTGTGGTGATTATTTACAACAAGGGCTTGACCCTTTCATGCCAATCCAAGCAGGGGCATACCAGTGGGGAGATCATCAATTTCATGACCATTGATGCTGAGAGAATTGGCGACTTCGTTTGGTATATGCACGATCCTTGGATGGTCATTTTGCAAGTCGCTCTAGCTTTGCTGGTTCTGTATAAAAATCTTGGCTTTGCTGCAATTTCGACGCTTGTGGCGACTGTGTTAGTTATGTTGGCTAATCTCCCTCTGGGGAAGCTGCAAGAGAAGTTTCAAGACAAGTTGATGGCGTCGAAAGATGTTAGGATGAAGGCAACCTCGGAGATATTGAGGAACATGAGGATTCTCAAGTTACAAGGTTGGGAGATCAAGTTCCTGTCCAAGATTTTCGAGCTTAGGAAAACTGAGGCAGGGTGGTTGAGAAAATATCTTTACACTTGGGCTATGACCTCATTTGTCTTTTGGGGTGCCCCTACATTTGTGTCTGTCGTCACTTTTGGTACTTGTATGCTTCTTGGGATCCCACTTGACTCCGGGAAGATCTTATCTGCTCTTGCAACATTCAGAATTCTTCAAGAGCCCATCTACAATCTGCCGGACACGATTTCAATGATAGCACAGACAAAGGTTTCCTTTGACAGAATATCATCTTTCCTCCGTCTTGATGACTTGCAGCCCGATGTTATCGAAAAGCTTCCAAGAGGTAGTTCAGAGACAGCCATAGAGATAGCTGATGGTACTTTCTCCTGGGATGTATCTTCCCAAAATCCAACCTTGAAAGATATTAGTTTCAAAGTGTTCCGCGGTATGAAAGTTGCTGTTTGTGGTACCGTTGGCTCGGGCAAGTCAAGCCTGCTTTCTTGTATCCTAGGAGAGATTCCAAAGATTTCTGGGATCGTTAAGTTGTGTGGGACGAAGGCCTATGTTGCTCAGTCACCTTGGATTCAGAGTGGCAAGATAGAGGAGAACATATTGTTTGGTGAGGCGATGGACAGAGAAAGGTATGAGAGGGTTCTTGAAGCTTGTTCATTGAAGAAGGACCTGGAGGTCCTCTCATTTGGTGATCAAACAGTGATCGGGGAAAGAGGAATCAATTTGAGTGGTGGACAAAAGCAGAGAATACAAATTGCCCGAGCCTTGTACCAAGATGCCAACATATATCTTTTTGATGATCCTTTCAGTGCTGTGGATGCTCACACAGGATCCCATCTCTTCAAGGTAATCCTGAATTTCTAGTCTTTTAATATTCATGCATTTCTTAGTATGCAGGCATTATTTGAGATAACTAAATATACTTACCAATGTTATATTTGTTTGTTAACAGGAATGCTTGCTGGGCCTATTGAGTTCAAAAACTGTAATTTATGTTACTCATCAAGTTGAATTCTTACCCGCCGCTGATCTGATATTGGTAAGGAAGTAGTGTTTTCCTTTGTGATAACTGCATACAAACTTATTTTTTTAATTTTTTTAATTTTTTTAATTTTTTTAATTTTTTGTTTCTAAACATGATATTTTTATCAACTATTAGGTCATGAAAGATGGAAGGATTACGCAAGCCGGAAAGTACAATGAAATTCTGAATTCCGGAACTGATTTTATGGAACTTGTTGGCGCCCACAAGGAAGCATTGTCCACGCTTAATTCAGTTGATGCCGGCTCAATTGAAAAGAGATGCATTGATGAGAAAGATGAAAATTTAGTGACTACAAATGGGGTTATGAAGAAAGAAGAAGACGGAGTTGGTCAAGATAGTCAAACTGAGGATGCAGCTGAACCAAAAGGGCAGCTCGTTCAAGAAGAAGAAAGAGAGAAGGGTAGAGTCAGTTTTCAGGTCTATTGGAAATACATCACAACAGCATATGGAGGAGCTCTTGTGCCTCTTATACTGCTCGGGCAGATTTTGTTTCAGGTCCTCCAAATTGGCAGCAACTATTGGATGGCTTGGGCAAGTCCTGTTACGGAGGGTGCAGAGCCTGCAGTTGGAGGCGTTACACTGATACTTGTATATGTGGCATTGGCCATAGGGAGTTCACTTTGTGTCCTTGTGAGAGCTACGCTTCTAGTGAAGGCTGGGTATAAGACAGCTACTTTGCTGTTCAATAAAATGCATCAGTCCATTTTCCGTGCTCCCATGTCGTTCTTTGATGCCACCCCAAGTGGAAGAATCCTAAATAGGGTAAATGAAGAATATTTTTCTTAGCCATAGTTCTTGATTGGATAATGTAGGGCTTTGGTTATTTTAACAACTTTTCTTTCTTCATTTTCGTGCAGGCTTCTACTGACCAAAGTGCGGTGGACCTTACCTTTTTCACTCAAATTGCATCCTTTGCTTTCTCTATGATCCAGCTTGTTGGAATTATTGCAGTGATGTCCCAAGTTGCATGGCAAGTCTTTATTGTATTTATCCCTGTCATTGCAGCCTCTGTCTGGTATCAGGTATTCCTTTCGACATTGTCGGAATGCTATGTTAAAAATCTGTATTGATGGTTCCTTTGAACTTCCAAATCACAATGACGTTTAACATAATTTTATGACTTAACTTCTCAAAAGTTTTTGGATGAAAAGTGGGAAGGATGGTTTATTAATAATTGTAATGCATATATGCAGCAATACTACATGCCTGCTGCGCGAGAACTATCACGGTTAGTTGGCGTCTGCAAAGCTCCAGTTATACAACATTTTGCAGAAACAATTTCAGGGGCAACAACCATAAGGAGCTTTGATCAAGAATCGAGATTCCGGGACACAAACATGAAATTGGCAGATGGGTATTCACGGCCTAAGTTCCACATTGCTGGTGCAATGGAATGGCTATGCTTTCGGTTGGATATGTTTTCTGCCATTACATTTGTCTTTTCATTGGTTTTCTTGATTTCTGTTCCAGAGGGTGTGATTGATCCAGGCAAGTTATTCCCATTCAGAAACTTCAATTCTTTCTTGCAAAACAAAAGCGTAAGGAGACTGAATCATTTTTTTTTTCTATTTTCTGTTTTGATATAGGTATTGCGGGCTTAGCTGTTACATATGCACTTAATTTGCATACGTTACAAGCTTGGGTTATTTGGAATCTTTGCGAGATGGAGAACAAAATAATATCAGTGGAAAGAATACTTCAATACACTACTATCCCAAGTGAGCCTCCACTTGTGATAGAATCAAATCGGCCAGATCGTTCTTGGCCATCACGTGGAGAAATCGATGTTCGCGATCTTCAGGTACTTGCTGGTTTCTAGATGCTATTCCCTTCTACTTGCTTGACATCAAAAGATATTTTAAACTTTATGTATGGGTTATTCATGTATGTGATGGTAAATTTATAGGTTCAATATGCCCCGCACATGCCACTTGTGTTGCGAGGTCTCACATGCACTTTCCCCGGAGGAATGAAGACCGGCATTGTAGGGAGAACAGGCAGCGGCAAATCAACCCTCATACAAACACTTTTCCGGATTGTTGACCCTGCTGCTGGTCAGATTGTGATAGATGGCATCGACATATCTTTGATTGGCCTGCATGATTTGAGATCAAGGCTGAGCATTATCCCTCAGGAGCCAACCATGTTTGAAGGGACTGTAAGAAGCAACTTGGATCCACTTGAAGAATACACAGATGAACAAATATGGCAGGTGGGCTTTCTTTTCTTTTCTTTTTTCCTTTTTCCCCCTCTTTTTTGCATTCCATTTAGTCTTCTATTGTTGTATATTCTTAATATCTCGCTTGCATGGTTTTAGGCTTTGGATAAGTGCCAACTTGGAGATGAAGTTAGGAAGAAAGAAGGAAAGCTGGATTCTGCAGGTTTGTTTGGTGGCTATTCCATAAAATATACATATTTGAATTTCTGTTCAAATTTCATGTTCAAACTCATGAACCAAACGGCCCTTTCTATGTTGATGTGGATTATGCAGTGACTGAGAATGGAGAGAATTGGAGTATGGGCCAGAGGCAACTTGTCTGCCTTGGCAGAGTTCTACTCAAGAAAAGCAAGGTCCTGGTGCTTGATGAGGCCACCGCATCCGTCGACACAGCTACCGACAATCTAATTCAGCAAACCCTCCGAGAACACTTTTCCGATTGCACGGTTATCACCATTGCTCATCGCATAACTTCCGTACTCGACAGTGACATGGTTTTGCTTCTTAGTCATGGCAAGTATTTTATGATCATGTGATCCTAAGTTTACCTTTTTTGCGGTTTTTTGCAATGTCCTGATCATCTTCTCTTCATTTTCACGCAGGGCTTATTGAGGAATACGACTCTCCGGCAAGATTGCTAGAGAACAAATCGTCCTCTTTCTCGCAGCTCGTGGCGGAATACACCATGAGATCAAATACAAATTTTTGAAAAGCTTTCTAAAATAACAACTGTTTTGTTGAGATGAGTTTCTTGACGATGATGAAAATGTAGAAGTATTGTTGCTTTTTTTGGTGTTGGATAAACAAACTCTGTAGCATATTTAAGGCTTGTTTTTTTAGAGTGTAATTTGAGTGTAGTTTTTGAGTTGAATTTGAGTTATAACTTGAGTTGAAGTTGTAACTTGAATAAAGTTGAGTAAAGTTAAATAAAATTAAAACTTAAAAAACATGAACTTGAATAAAGTTGAAACTCGAGTTGTATTTCTTTGAATTTTTTAAATAAAAGAACAGACCCTTATTCAAGTAAAAAAAAAAAAGAAAGTATTTTTAATACAAAGCTATACACACTAGTGAGAAGTGAGAACATTTCCTCCTTTTATTATGTCTAACTTGTTTGGAGGAGTCGGGCTATATATCATCACATATTTTAATCAATCATAAATTCAAAGTCTCATGCTAATTATGATACATGTTTTACACAATCATACTAATTGGTTAAAAAAAAAAAAAAACAGAGAACTAGTATTTTCTTGATTGAGATCCGATTATCACACTAATTTTCATTGCCCAATCACAATTACCCTCTTCTTTGATAGAACGCATAGGCAAAACAAACAAGAATCCTATCCCTACAACTTATAAGTGGACCCCACTAAGTAATACTAACAAGGAACTTATACAATAAAGAACTTATACAATGACACTGGGGACTAATAAGTTAAAAAAATAATTATATCAAAATTAGAGGATTAAATTTATTAATATTTAATGGGAACTTTGTGTACATTAATATAATAAATTGCATATATACACACATATATTTTCAATAAAAAATTACTTGACCCCACTAAACTGCATTTAATTCCATCCGTGAACTTATAAACACTATATATATAATATTAAATCAAAGGATGAAAGGTAAAATGTGTCGTTACTACATTTTAATTAAATTTTAACTAAAATAATTAGAAACTTTTTTAGTGATTTACTCTTACCATACTCTCTATTTTAATTAAATATAGACTGTTTTAATATTTATTGAATTTAAAATATAAATAACTTTATTAAAATTTTTAAATTTTTTTTACACTTATTACGGTTAAAAGAATAAAATAATATAAAAAATTAAATTATTAACCTCTTCATATATATATATATATTTTAAAAAGCTAATCTTTTCATACTAACTATATTTAGTTAGTGCGAAAAATATTTTTTAAAATGACTAATTATTTAGTTAATAATCGAAGTGGATAAAAATAAAGTAAAAATAAAAAAAATTATCAATATTAATTGCAAATAATTTCCAAAAAAGAATATATGAAATTAAGCTCTTCTGATTGAATCATCCACCTTGGAAGAAGAAAAAGCAGTATGGGAGCTAGATGAGTATTAATTTTCGTACCAATCAGTTACAATTTTGTCAAGTTTCTTCAATATTGGGTTTCTACATAAATACGATTTTTTTTTTGAAACAAAAGTCTCAAATTTCAAGGCTATCTACAAAACTCACATCAATGTGTCCACCCGTCAAACATAGATATGAAATACATAATATTAAATAAGTGTTTGTCATACATCACTCATTTACACTAGGGATGAAAGAAATCACTCCGAACTCGACTATCCGATCCTATCCTACCCGAAAATATAGGGTTTTTTTCGGTTTAAAATTAGCCCAACTCGCAATGGGCGGGTAGGGTCGCGGGGCCAAGCCCATTACCCCGTTTAACCCTACCCGGCCCAAAATAACCATCTGCACTTTAAAAACCCTACATCACGCCATCACCTACCTCTCTCTCTCTCTCTCTCTACACGCTAAAGTGAACGAAAGCGTTCTTTTTCCACCGTAAAGAACTCTTCTTCCTTGGCCATCACTTCTCAAATGTGAATGCTTAATGGGTTTTCTTCACTTTCCATTCACAACTATGTTCACCGTTTAGAAAAGGATATATGGGGTTTTCTTTACTCTGGTTCATTAATTTTCTGAAATGGGTTTTTGAGGAGCTTTGCTCATAAGCAGATTTTTGACAGTTTCAGGAGTGTTTGTTTGTTTCCTGGGATTTTAGTGCAAATCTGTCTGAATATTTGTGAACCCTCATTGTGAAGAACGTCGCACTTAAAATTTGGAGTTGGTTTACCCGAAGTAATCCGGCCGACCCGAGGTAACCGAATGGTATACAGGTTCTAAAATTAATTAACTGTTGCGGCCCAACATTTTCTCAGGCCGATTATTACGGGCCGGCCCAAAACAAGCCCAAAAACTAACCCTACCCAGCCGACTTTCACCCCTAATTTACACAACACAAAATTTATCACACTTCAATACAAATTGGTCTCATTCATTTCACTAATTCGATTTTAAAATTCGAGTTTTATTACAGTAAAAAACTTTCAGACATAGTTATATCTAACTTTTTTTACTACAGTAAAAAGCTTTTAAATAAAGTCACATTTTAACTCGAATCAAGTCAAAAATCTAGTCTTAATACAAATTCATAAATCTAACGTGCATAACAGAAAATCCAGAGTCTCTCAGAAGTGCCATCAAAAAACAATTGTGAGACTTGTTGTATATCTAACTACTCTGACCATCGCTCGCAATAAGAATACCGACTATTTAATTTAAAAATCAACAAAATAGAAATAAATAGGGAAACATTATAAATAAATCAAATGTTCTAAGCGCTAATTTCGAAAGAATTCAATAACGATAATAACAATAGTAATAATAAAGATATATATATATATATATAATCCATAACAACTGATAGAAATCTAATTTTCAGAATAACATAATAACTCATCAATATTAAAATATCTGGATTAGTTAAATAATCAAACACCCGCATACCCGTTACTATAAAAGGTCAGTAATACTTCTATTTGGTAGTAAGACCATCTCTAATATAAATGTTAATGTCAATTATATATTTAACATTAAAAAGTATAATATAATATGTTAGAGTATCTCAAATGTAATGTTATAATTAATGTACTAATTGAAAATTTAGCATTTGAATGTAAAAAATAGTTTTCAATACAGTATTATTTATTGTGTCAAATTTCTAATGTGTTATATTTTGTGGTAAATTTCTCATCAAGTATAGCACATAGAAAATTTAGCATTTGATTACTATTAGTATAAATGTTTACTTTTTCATGTTATGACTTTTATATTTTTTAATTATTTAAAAATAAAAGTTTACTTTTACAATTTTTAAAACTTTATGATTATGGGGAAAAGTAGATTTAACATTTTAAATAACATTATGCATTAGAATAAAAATGAAAAATAACATATCATATCACATTTTTTGATCCTAAATATATAATGAGCATTAACATTTGTACTGAAGATAGTATTATTTTTATTTTTGCTCCATTACATAATGCTATTTGAAATGCTAAATTTATTTTTTCTCATAATCATTAATTTTTGAAAGATGTAAAAGTAAAATTTCATTTTTAAAATAATTAAAAAATACAAAAGTTACAATGATTACATGAAAAATAAACATTTCAGCTAATAATAATCAAATGTCAAATTTCTCATATGATATCTTAGTAGGAAATTTGTCACAAAATATAACATATGAGAAATTTGACACAACAAATAACATTGTATTAGAAAGTATTTATTGTACTAAAATACTAAATTTACAATTGGCATATCAGTAATAGTATTACATTAGGATACTCTAATGGAAGAGAAACGAAATGAGAAAAAAAAGTTTGTTCTGCCACAAACGAACACCCCGTTAAAGAGTTTGCGTATCAGTTAAAGATAAGACCAGCAATGAGACACCATTTTATATAGAAAATATTTGTAAATGACATAAATATAAATCTGAGAACTCAAAACTTTACAAATGGAATTACTAATGCGTATGCATCTTTGTGACTTAGTATAATCACGCAAAGCTTTGTTCTTTTCTTGGTGGTCACACAAGTTAGCTATACCCCGGAAATTCCTATCAAAAGTTAGGAGACGTTTGGTAAGGAGATTCATACTATGATTTGAATCATGGTTCATAGTTCGTTATAGTATTTTCTCTAAAAAAATACACGTAAATCAAAAATGATTCTAATTCATGAACCAAACGTCTCCTTAGTTTAATTAGTCAATTTTAAATTTCTATTAAAGTTCTTGTCCCATCTTGTACGTATTGGGTACATTTGATACAAGAAAAAGTTTCTAGATTCATAAAGATATTGAACAACGTATAAACACTTTAGATCATGTCCAATATAAACGCAATATCAATATCATATTTGACTAATAATATGAAAATGACTTATAAAGCTAGTAGTTATCAAATTTAACTACTAAATAATATTGTATTGGAGGGTTATTATTGTTCACTAGAGATGTTCACATTCGTCACTTATCTCTCAAAGATTCTCTTTTTGATATGTCTATTTTTTTCTTTTAATCTTTTACCTTAAAATTATATCTCCACTTGCGATCATTATTGAATTATGTGCGTGGAGTACTTTCCTAAAGCAACGTCAAAAATGACCAACTCATCAATCAATTTACTGGGTGGTCCAATTAGAAATAAAATAAAAACTACCTTATTTTCTCTTTCATTTTGTCTGCATTCTGCTCCGATTCCGTCCCATGAATACTTTATGATTCTGTTTATTTTACTGATTTGAGTTTAGAATTTAAATTTTATTACAATAAAGAGTTCTTATAAACAATCACATTTAATTTTTTTACTACAGTAAAAAACTCTCACATAAAGTCACATATCAACTCAAATTAAAAACTCGAATCAACGAACAAAACAAACCTTACTTTTTAACATTTTATCAAATGATTTTAAAAATGTAACATCTGTTTTTTTTAGAATTTTCATTAAAAAAACACATGTCATATAAATAATCGTTCTTGTTAAATAATTTGATGAAAAATTACTCCTTTACTCATTAAAAGAACACATGTCATACATTGTCTAATCTAGGTTTTAATTTTCTTCCCCCATATAAAATGAATAGCCAAGGCCATTGTAGGCTAAAAACAAAAAAAAAAAAAAAAAAAAAAAAAAAAAAAAAAAAAACACCAGACCTTGCGTTTTGATGAATTTTGAACTTCCTTCAGTGGTCAGTTCAGCCCCTGGCCTGCTCAAGATCCCTTGCAAGGCTATAGTTTATTATTATTATTATTATTATTATTATTATTATTATTATTATTATTATTATTATTATTATTATATTACATTATTATTATTCACATTATTATTATTATTATTTTCCTCTATTTCAAGACTTGTGCATGCAATAATAAAAAACATTTTAATGGATCATTAGTATTAAATGTATTCCAATAATAAGGTTTTTAGATTAAAATTAGATTTTAAATACAAATAACATTTTAAAGGCAAGATTACCAAAATACCTTCATTTTATACACCGGAAGTCAATTTTTTGTCGAAATTCTAAGAAAAATTTTCTTTTTTTGTTCATGTTTTGATTTTCATATGAAATAAATGTTACGTTTTGAAAATTGAAGAGTAAAGTATTATAAAGAATATTGTTCGAGAGGAATATTTGTAATTAATTTTTTTTAAGCGCCTTTGAACTCAATAAAGCTTTGCAATTTGTATGATGAAGAAAAGGAAGTTGATTTTCCGTGTTTGCTCCAATTGCGTTTCTTGCCTAAATCTTGATTATAGTTAGGACTGCTTTTCCAGTCCCTCCAGATCTCCCATATACCAGAGACCCAAAAAAAAAATAATAATAATGGGAATAGCTGGCCTTTCATGCATGTATGTTTTTTTTTTTTTTTAATCTTTTTCCTTTATTTTTCTTTTTTAAGCAACTTGGAAAGGGAGTTTGATAGCTAATTGAGTGGAAGATAATCATTGTAATTCAAATTAATATTTTAGTTGACTTTTTTTTTAAATAATATTTTAGTATGACGTGGTAAAAGTAAAAAGCTAAAACATGTAGGTCACATTAGGATTAAGACGTAGGCCCCATTTATTTCACCGATTTAAGTTCAGAATTTAAGTTTTATTATAGTAAAAAGTTCTCAGAAACAGTTACATTTAACTTTTTTACTACAATAAAAAGTTCTTACATAAAGTCACATCTAAACTCGAATTAAAAACTCGAATTAACGAACTAAATAGGCTCATATTATGTACAAATCCGGTCTAATATAAATCATTTAGGTGTGTCTAGTGGCAATAATGAAGGAAAACGTATATGCATGCTTTGTTTTTGAAAGTGTACATCATGTTTTACAAAAGGACAGTGAGATGGATAAATACCTCCAAAATAGAGACAAGGGATACACATGCTCCATGTGATAAACGTACGTCAAAAATCAAACGTTTGGTTTATGGATTCAGAATTATGATTCAGAATCATTTTTAGTTTACATGTATTTTTTGTGAGAGAAAACAATGTAACGAATCACGAATCATGATTTAAATCATGATACGAATCTACTAACCAAACGCATGTTCCTCAATTATTAGACAAGTTTGGTTCTTTAAATTTGCCATTAATATACCAATAAATAAGAGAGTTTCTTGGGTAGTACCAAAGAAAGTACATTACGAGTAGCTTTCTATTCTTCAGCCGTAAAATTTACACTAGAAATTGTCTTTTTTGTTTATTTTTTAATTTGTTATGATTTTAACCCGATCAAACAGACAAAAACTAGTACTACTAATAGAGAAGCCTACTAAAGAAAGTCCCTAATAATTAAAAAAAAAAAATTATCCACATGCAAGTTGCTAATCTTTCTAGCCCGTTTGGTAATTTGGTTCATGTATTTTGAACTAAAAAATTGACTTAAAATGATATTTGATAATGCTTTTTTAAATTTATTTTAAACCATTGATTTGAAAATAACCCTACAATTTACATTGATAGTCTATAGAATATGTTATTTTGTACTATCAGTACAGTAAGATTTTAGTCATTTAATTAAGATTTGATGGTCTCATTAATAAATGTCTATGTTGAAAATAGTGACCTAATTGTAAAAATACTCACTAATAATGTGCCTAATCGTAGAATAATATTATTATATACTTTTCAAAAAAGAATAATACCTGACTACCATAGTAAAATTTTTCTTTATTTTATCAAAAAAATTTAAAAAAGAGAATGAGAATTTTGTCAAATATTATAACTATTTTAAACTGATTATGTTGCTTTTGCATACTTTTCTCACAAAATTTTAACATATATCTAAACTAATGAATGAAACATGCATTAAGGAACGGAAATTTCTACGCTCTGAGCCATCATTTTAACTATCAGTAAGAGTTACTGTTTTAGTTATTAATTAATCTTTTAACAATATGATGTAACATAATATTATAGATTATACCTGTTAGAAAATTAATTCACCGGTTAAAATAACAATATCTAAAAATCTGTAATTAGAAAAAAAAACTAGTTCCCACTGCATAAGTTATCCCACATGAAAAATATAAAAATATTAGGGCCTTGTTCACTTTGCGGATTCGAGTTTTCAATTCGAGCTGAGATGCGACATTTTATGAGAGCTTTTTACTGTAGCAGAAAAAGTTAAATGTGACATTTTCTGAGAGTTTTCTACTGTAAAAACCTAAAACTGAAAACTCGAATTGGTGAAATGAACGAGGCCTTAGAGACAAAGGCTAAATAATTATTTTTTTAACTTCTTTTTTATTATTATTTAACATTTAATCTTTTTTATAAATTTAATTATAATATAATATTCATAATTAGTGGACATTTTTTCAATTTACGTGTATTTTTTATGAAAAAAATACTGTATCGAGTCATGAATCATGATCAAAACTAAACGCACACTTATAGTGCGTTTGGTTCAAGGATTCGTGTCATGGTTCAAATCATGGTTCGTGACTCGCTATGGTATTTTCTCTCGTAAAAAACACACGTAAATCGAGAATAATTCTGAATCATAATTCTTTAATCCCATTTTACGTCAGTAAATTTGTTAAATTTATAAATGAAAGTTGATGTAATATAGGCCTCGTTCATTTAACTGATTCGAGTTTTTAGTTTTAGATTTTTACAGTAAAAAGCTATCAGAAAATATCACATTTAATTTTTTTTTGCTACCGTGAAAAGCTCTCAGAAAATGTCACATCTCAGCTCGAATTAAAAACTCGAATCCGCAAAGTGAACGAGACCTAGACCTTTTTAGATGAATTAATCTATTAAAAGTATTTATTTCTAATTGTTAAATTTAATTAAAATCACATTAAATTAAAAATTTTATAATAAACATACAGTTTTTAATTAAAAAAAATAGAGATCTCGGTTCACTTTTTCCGGTCCATAGAAGAAACTCCCAAAAAAAAAATCTGGCCGGTTCGATAAAACCGAGGCAAAAATAACCGCTTATATATATTTCCAAAACACGAAACGGCACGCCGACAAATCCACCTTCTGAGTTCTGACACCAAACCATTAGATACAAGACCCAATTACACCTTTTTTATTTCTAAATTTATTAAATAAAAATAAATTTTCGCACGTGCCACGCGTACGGAAACACCGCTCTTGGCACGTGCGAGGCACCTTCTCCTCCCTCGCCACTCTGAGATTCCCCACCAACCTGACCAGCGAACCTCAAAAAAAAAAAAAAAAAAAAAATCTCTCGCTAGAGCTCGGGAAAACTCAAATGCCGATTTCGAAACTCCGATAAGAGCTCAGAAATTCTGCGTCGCAGATCCTGAAGAAGCTTCTCGAAGGTTCCTTGGAGATTTTCTTTGGAAGTCGCGCTTTTTTTTTTGTTGAGCTTTTACTACTACAACTATGGAGTCGATACTGGCCCGGGCTTTGGAGTACACTCTCAAGTACTGGCTCAAGTCCTTCTCCAGAGACCAGTTCAAGTTGCAGGGTCGGACCGTGCAGCTTTCCAATTTGGGTGAGATTGAGATTTCGGCGATCGATTTTGCTTGGTTTTTGTCGGTTTTGTGATTGTTTGATTGATTTAGGTTTAAAGATTGGAAATTTGATTTGATTTTTGTTTTTCTTTTGTTTTTTTTTTTTGATAAATTGGTAGATATAAATGGCGATGCTTTGCATTCGAGCGTTGGATTGCCTCCGGCGATCAATGTGACAACGGCGAAAGTCGGCAAATTGGAGATTGTGGTTGGTGATTCTTGATCCTTTATTTGCACTCTGTGTCATTTGAATTTTCGAAATTTGGAAGGTGAATTTGGATTGTGATGCGAAGTTTTGAAATTTATTGCTGTTTGCTTACTTTTGTCAAAGATTTAACTTCTATGCAATACAATGTTTATATCATGGGTGTAAAAGAGGTAATTCGGTTGAATTTGTTTGATTTTCGGTAACTAAGTCGACGCATAATCTAAAAAGTCCTAAGATATTTTGAATGCCTGAAATGAGTTTCCTTGTTCATATAATTTTGAATCTTTTATCATTTTCCAAATGTATATATTTGGGTGTTTAATTAATGTACATTGTCTTTTTTCTTTTTTCTTTTCCTTTTTTTTTTCTGGGTTTACCAGCTTCCATCAGTAAGTTATGTACAAGTAGAGCCGATTGTCGTTAAAATCGATAGGCTTGATTTGGTTCTTGAGGAAAATCCTGATGCAGATGCATGTAAAAGTCCAAGCAGGTAATGTTATTCATAGTTGTTTGAGGTTTGTTTAAAGATTCAGGTGGGTTTCACCATTAAGGTTCTAATTCCTTCTTACTTTTGCAGCTCTCAGTCATCCTCTAGCTCGGCGAAGGGTAGTGGTTATGGATTCGCGGATAAGGTTGGTTCTCTCTTTTGTGTAGTTAAATTTAGGTTTTATAAATCAGAACAGAAAGATTGCTAGGTGATTGCCCTGAAATGAACTGGATTCTTTATAAGAATTTGCATGAGAAATAGCGAATCTGGCTTCTTAGGTAAACGATGATTGTGTCGTATAAAAAAATTCTAAAGCTCAATTCTTGTAAGTAAGGCAGCTAAGAACCACAATGTTTAAGATACATGCTAAGACATGGAATCTCCTTGAATAATTGACCATTCAAGTAACATGTTTCGGCACTGGGTTGAGACTTGGAGTTTGCTATTCCCAACTTCTCTGAAGTTCATCTATTTATAGCATTTTGTTATGATAAGAAGCTGAAAGTTTCACTCTCTCCCCTAAATAACTATTCTGTCTGGTTCCATTTCTTGCATTTGAGCCCTTGCTTTTCCATTTTTGTATTTCATTCATAATAATTCCACTGTTGGGTCATCATTATCATTAGCATAGACAAGATATGTTTCCGAATTTTGTCCACAAGGCTTTATTTAAAATTTTATGCTTGATTCTACTCTGAAGGAATTTTTATATGGGCGCGTATGACGTGCACATAAAGACAAGTAGTTGCACCGAGTTATGGATTGACCTTCTTTACGTATCAGATTGCAGATGGAATGACTATAGAGATTTCTACTGTCAATCTTTTACTTGAAACTCGCGGTGGTGCTCGACGCCAAGGAGGGGCGACTTGGTATTCCCTAACCTTGAATGTGTAGTTTTCTTTGTGTACCTTGATATGTCAACATTTACATAACTGAAACCCTTATCATAACTTAGCAAGAAAAATATGCTGACACGACAAGTTTTTATTGTACAGTTGAAAATTTTGTGCTGTCCTAAATTAGAAATTAAGAGCTATTTACACATTATATGTTCAGTGATGTTCCATATCATATTCACGTTGGATTTACAAAGATTCATTTCTTCAAGTTTCTTTTCTGTTACAGGATGTCGCCTCTAGCATCTATCACTATACGCAACCTCTTGATGTATACCACAAATGAAGATTGGCAGGTAATGTACTGATTCTTCTCATAAGGTGATTTCTTGACCACATTCTACATTTGATTATTTTCAGCTGCTTACCTCAGCAAATTACTGTAACAGGTTGTAAATCTGAAGGAGGCACGGGACTTCTCCGCTAACAAAAAGTACATATATGTCTTCAAAGTAATATACTACGCTGCATACATGAGATGGATGTTCCTTTTATATTTATGCATTTGTTTAGTTCTCTATCTTTTGCACAAGTCCAAGCTTATGTTGCACGTGTCTTGACTTTTGCGATTGCTTCTCCATTGTGTATGCATGAGTGTTTGCTTGTACTGTCTTTATTATTATTATTATTATTATTATTATTATTATTATTATTATTATTTTTCTGTCCTCTAATGTCAAAAAAGTTTTGGTACTCATGCCTGGTTAATAATAATGATGTACACTTTTCTTACCAGAAACTTGTGTGGGAGTCACTGTCTATTGATCTCTTGCCTCATCCTGATATGTTCATGGATGCTAATGTAGCATGCGCCCGAGAAGGCGGAAACCAGAGAGACGATGATGGTGCAAAGCGAGTTTTCTTTGGTGGGGAGCTTTTTCTAGAAGGAATATCAGGAGAAGCTTACGTAAGTCAAGTCTGATCGCGAGGTTGATTTTGATAGGTTTTGTTTTGTTCTCTGCATTTTCTGATGCTATAGAGCACTGTATGGGTTTTTTTTCCCATTCTCAATTTGTATTGGCATCTTTGTTTTCATGACCAGATCACAGTGCAGAGGACTGAGATGAACAGCCCACTTGGGCTTGAGGTTCAGTTACATATTACAGAAGCCCTTTGTCCTGCACTAAGTGAACCAGGTAAATAGTGTAATGTTTTTGGGCTACTTGTTTAATTGCTGGTAGTGAATATACGAGACATCTTACATGTAGCATGGCGTTGATGTATCACCATGTGGCAGGGTTACGTGCTCTTCTCCGCTTTTTGACCGGATTCTATGTCTGTCTTAATAGAGGAGATGTTGATCCAAAGGCTCAGCAGGTTTTGGTTTCCTTTATTCTATTCAATATATACATACACACATTATCCTTCTAAAATTCTTTTGTGCATTATCAGTTAAGTCATCTCTTCCTGTTTTGGATTTTTGCAGAGATCTACTGAAGCGGCTGGACGTTCTCTCATCTCTGTTGTTGTTGACCACATATTTGTGTGCATTAAGGATGCTGGTTTGTGATTTTCCTTACGAGTCGGCTATAGATTAGTTATCCACTAACTTCCAATGAGCAAGCCTACACATAATATCCAGAGACACATGTACACACACACAAAGATGCGTTCACACATACACACTGACCATCAACAGATGTCAGAATGGATCCATATATTTATGCTCTTTTACAATTGTTTGCTTGTCTGTTCATAGTACTTTTCAGCTAACATTCTACAACAATTTCAATCTACGTGCAGAATTTCAGCTCGAACTTTTGATGCAATCACTTTTCTTTTCTCGGGTATATAGTCTGAAAAATTTATTATTATCGTTCTTTTATCTTCCTCTTAGTGCATCGTGTTTGTATTCTGACAGCAGTTCTACACCCACCTTTACTAAACACTTGGTAAAATTGAAAGCTAAACTTGTGCGCTAATTTACACAGCAAGTTTGGACATCAATATCTAAATGACGCATGCCCTTGTATGTATAAATTGTTTTGAAATTCTGACACAGTGTTAAATAAATTTTATTCTTTAATGCTGACATACTATGATTAAATACAGAAGGAAACAAGACGTATACTAAAGCACCTTATGCAACAAGCTCCAGTTCTTTTGAGTATTTTGAAAATATCAAAATCTAGTAATTTTCATTTTATGTTTACTTGCTTCTTTATAGACTCTATACTGGATACAGATACAGTCCACTTCAGGGTAAAACAATAGTGTTTCTTAAGTGCCATGATTTCACTTTTGAGATTTATTCTGGGATATGTTTTGCTTTGTAGGCCAGTGTTTCCGATGGAGAAGATCACAATAACTTGACTAAGGTCATGATTGCTGGGCTTTTTTTAAGGTGAATTTCTTTTTATTTCTACTCTTTCGCAAGATTTGATGCTGGTGACCATATTTTTTTTATAAATGTTCTCTTGGATTTAAGATAGACATTAAATATGTCATATAGTATCAGTATGTAGCATTTTTGTTTTACTTTTGGCGTTGCTTTATCATTATGCTTGTCCTGTGTTTTGTTCCTTTTTTTTTTGGGTACAAAATCACGTTAGCTTTATTAGTGTTATTTATTTATAAGAGGAATTTGCAATCTCTACCTAGAACTCTTATTCTTTGCCAAAACAATTTATCTAGAACTTTCTAGTCTATCATTTTGCTGTAATGGAATTAAGGCGTGCCAAGTTTTGACTTGTATTAAGAACTTCTGTTGTGTACTTTTGAGACTCCAAAAAGTATTGATTTCTGTCCTCTTGTGGCTTCCAGATCTTGGTATTTAAATCAGTTAATTTTCCTTGATGAAGTGAAAATTATTAGGTAGGACGTGTATAAATAGTTGGCCTTCACTTATATTGTGTGCTTGAATGCAGAGATACCTTTTCACGGCCTCCATGCACCTTAGTGCAGCCATCAATGCACGCTACTATGAAAGAGACAGTGCCTGTTCCTGAGTTTGGTAAGAAATGAAATCTACATGCACGTCCTCGTAAAATATTGAAATTTAATCCCATGGCCAAACGTCATAATTTTGGTCTAGTTTAAAGTGGCCTTTTTCTTTTTCCTTTTTTTTTTTTTTTTTTTGGTTCTTTCTAGAAACAGTCTATAGTTTAAAGTTGATCTCTGTGGTTTCTCTGGACAGCCAAGAACTTCTGTCCTCCCATATATCCTTTTGGAGATCAGCAGTGGCAGTTAATTGAGGGTGTCCCTTTACTTTGTCTCCATTCTCTTCAAGTTAAGCCCTCCCCTGTTCCGCCATCTTTTGCTTCACAAACAGTTATCAACTGTCAGCCTCTTATGGTATGTGTTGATTATTTCTGTTCACGATCTCCATATATCTTGTATTTCTTTTCCTAATAAATTTAGTGTCATCTTCACATTTTGTGACCAGATTGATCTTCAAGAGGAGTCCTGTCTGCGGATATGTTCATTCCTCGCTGATGGAGTTGTAGTCAACCCTGGTGCTGTTTTGCCAGATTTCTCAGTGAATTCATTTATTTTCAACCTCAAGGAGCTAGATGTTACTGTTCCTTTGGATCCAGACAAATTGAATTGTACTGCCAGCAACAAGGATACCATAACCCAGAACTCGTTTACCGGGGCAAGGCTTCATATTGAGAATTTATTCTTTTCAGAGTCACCTTCACTGCAAGTTAAGCTACTGAACCTTGAGAAGGATCCCGTTTGCTTCTGTCTCTGGGAAGGGCAACCTATTGATTCTAGTCAGAAGAAATGGACTACTGGAGCATCACACCTTAATCTATCTCTTGAAACACCTACTGGGTTAAGTGGACCTCAGAATTGTCATAACTGGGCCTTTGGCCTCTGGAGATGCGTTGAACTGAATGATGCTTGTGTTGAAGTAGCTATGGTAACTGCAGATGGAAGCCCATTAACAAATATCCCTCCTCCAGGTGGAATTGTCAGAGTGGGGATTGCTTGTGAACAGTATTTGTCGAATACTTCAGTTGAACAATTATTTTTTGTCCTGGATCTTTATGCATACTTTGGTAGAGTCAGCGAAAAGATTCTCCTCATCGGGAAAAGTGCCAGGCAAAAGAAAAGTAGTACTAGGTCTTCTTCTGGAAGGCTGATGGATAAGATTCCTTGTGATACAAGAGTAAGTCTAGCGGTGAAAGACCTTCAACTTAGATTTCTGGAGTCTTCTTCCATGAATATTCAGGGAATGCCTCTCGTACAGTTTCTTGGGAATAATCTATTTGTCAAAGTTACTCATAGAACACTTGGTGGTGCAATTGCCGTTTCGTCCACCTTATGCTGGGATAATGTTGAGGTGGATTGTGTGGACACTGAGGGACACTTTACTCATGAGAACGGGACAGCGTTAACTTCCTATGAAAATGGCTTTTCAATGTGTGAGAATGGATACCCTCAGCTAAAAGCTGTTCTTTGGATACATAATCATCGAAGAAACCAGCAAAAAAATGGCAATGCTTTCATTGAACCATTTCTGGATATAACAATTGAACATATGATTCCTTTGAATGAAGTGGATAGAGAGTGTCATACTCTCAATGTCTCAGCTTGTATTTCGGGTGTCCGCTTAGGCGGAGGAATGACTTATGCTGAAGCCCTATTGCATCGTTTTGGTATACTTGGCCCTGATGGTGGCCCCGGAAAGGGGCTCTCTAAAGGATTGGATAACTTAAGGGCAGGACCATTATCAAAGCTTTTCGAAACATCGTCTCTTGTTGCTGATAGTCTGGAAGAGGGTAAGAATTAGATGATTCTGGGTTAGTTTACAATTGATCACACCTGGCTGCATTCATACTTCCACTTAGTCAGGCATACAGATGACAGAAGTTCTTACTTTTAATTTGTCCCTTCTAAATTTAGCTGTTTCATTTTATTCAGTCATTGTCTAAATTTCCATTTTTCTCTAGATGGAAGTTCAGGAGATGGCAAAGAAAGCGATCTTATGCACTTGGGAAAGCCGGATGACGTGGATGTGTCTATAGAGTTGAGAAACTGGTTATTTGCTCTTGAAGGTGCACAGGAGATGGCAGAAAGGTGGTGGTTTTCGGATCATGAACGTGTGGGCAGAGAAGAAAGGTGTTGGCACACAACCTTTGAAAATCTGCGAGTAAGAGCAAAAAGTAGTCCAAAAATTTTGAGGAATGGAAAATCACATGGGATAAAGGAATATCCTGTTGAATTGGTTACGGTAAGAGATCATGCATCTTGATTGAATTTGTGATCATGCTTAGTTTTTTTCTAATACCTTTTTCTATTTTAGAAACTTGTGTATTAATTTCTGCAGATTGACATTAAATGAATCCAACATATAGCTGCCATATTTTTTTTGTCTATATATGTTATATTATTATTAAATAAGTTTGTGTACTATTAGGTGATATTCAAATATCTGCCTGTAACAGATGCTGGTGACATGTATAATAGAAGTATGACTGTGATGTGTTAAAATTTGTTGGTCTGGGAAAATCCCTGCTATTCTTTGCTGAAAACTGTTTGATTTTGGGTGCCTGTGCTATGTGCTATGTTGACTTCTACAGTAATGCTCTAGACCCAAAATGAATCTTTCTTTTTGCTTTCAACGAGCAAACGCAACAATCTTTTCCTGGATAAAATCGCACTTTCATGAAATAGACATTCTCTCTGTCTGTCTCTGTCTCTCTCTCAATAATAATTTTTAGTTGCATCTTATTTGTGGTTTCATTTTTTTTTTTTTCCAATACAGGTTGGTGTTGACGGCTTGCAGACCTTGAAGCCCCATGCCCAAAAGAGTATTCATTCAGCTGTCCTGCCAGTAAATGGGTTTAAAGAAACTGTGGAGACATCTGGAGGCATAAATCTCGAAGCTCGCATTGTGGCATCAGAGGACACTGTTGATGATGAAACGGTGAAATGGATTGTGGAGAATGTAAAATTCTCCGTTAAGGAACCGGTAATTTAGATCTTTAACTTTCAAGAAATTGACAAGTGAACTGCAATTATATTCCCACTTCATTTTTCTGATTATGACATGGTTTACTCTGTAGATTGAGGCCACAGTCACGAAGGAAGAGCTGCAATACCTTGCTCTTTTGTGCAAGTCCGAAGTCGACTCGATGGGTCGAATAACTGCTGGAATTATACGGCTACTCAAGCTGGAGGGGTCCATTGGCCAAGCAGCAATGGATCAACTAAACAACCTTGGTATGTCGAACTCGCTTCATGAATGAATTAAGTTTTGTAAAGAAATTCTCTTATGCTCCCAAGTCCAAAGCAATCCATTTATTGGTTCAACAAATTTGCAGGAAGCGAGGGCATTGACAAGATTTTCTCCCCAGAAAGGCTTAGTACTTCATCAAATTTGATTGGTGAAAACTCGCGTTTAACCTTGGAATCAACGGTTGCATCACTCGAAGAGGCAGTTGCGGACTCACAAGCCAAGTGTGCTGCTCTTATAAGCAATTTAGGCGGTTCAGATTCTTCCCTACATCTTTCTACCATCAACCAACTCACCCAGAAACTTGAAAACATGCAGAGTTTGTTGACGCATTTAAGAACTCAGTTATAGCTGTACCTTTCACCATTTTCTTTTGTTGTTATAGTTTGGGATGAAAAGGTCCCAACTATATCTATATATATATATATATATATATATAGTGCAACCATTCTTTTTGTATATAGCATAGATCAATATGATTGCAAGTATATGTACAAGTCAGGCCAAAATGTTGCTCTTCGTGTAGTTTAAAAATTTTGTATCGTAAAATGATGACTCCTCTCCTCTGTATCAATGCAGTTTTGGAAGAAATATATTGTGCTTAATTATCGTTTTTACATCAGACATATTACCCTATAATTGTGCAAATTACTCTTACTAGTGGCAGTCTTCTATTGGTTTCTAATTGTAATTTAAGTTGAGAAGTAAAAATCTATGGGTAATTAGCATTGTTAGTTTCTAAACTATGAGCATTGTGCCATTTTCAGGGTTTATTGAAAATTCCTAAGCTAAAATCACACACATCAAGCTTGCATTACATAATTCTGAACCTTTAATACACAAGTTTATATTACCTAAAAATCGGTGGCTAAGAACTTTGAAAGATTAATGTTACTAATCCTAAGCCTAGAATCTTTTCGTAGACAGAAACTAGGAAGCATAAATCTCAATTTTTTTAATAATTCTATTTTCCTCATAAGTCAAATTTTATGCTTTTCCAGTTTTATTCCTAAATTCGTTTATTTGTTCTTATCAACATAATGTTAAAAAAAGAATCTTAAAACAAACCTTATTATTATAAAATAAATGATGGCGCCTTCAAATAAATAAATAAATAAATTATTGTTTTTAACTCGTGGATACTTATAACGTTAACACTAAAATAAGTGTAGTATTTCATAAAAATTAAGGAATACTTATATTTTTCCTTTTAACAACAATATTACCATGGCAAACGTGAACACAAGGGTAGTTTTGTCATTTCAAAAAATTTACAAACTAGTAGGATACAGATATACTTGTTTGGGTGTTTGAAAAATCACAGGCGTTAGTTTGACTTGATATTAAAAGTTTAGGGAGTATTTTTAGTATTTTTCCTACTAGTTAGATATTTTGCACTTTTTGAAACCAATATATATATATATATATATTTCAACTCTAATATGGCAATATCTTGGAACAAACAATAGACAAGATAAATAACCTTATCTTCTGTGTTTCCTTTCACTTTGGTTTCATAGGATCCCAACTCCAAGCTGGCATGGCTTCCACTTCCACTCTCCTCCAAGCTCTCTTCCATGCAAATCGTCATCACCTAAATCCTCTTCTCCAATGTCAAATCCCACAAACCTCAAAAAACCCATCAAACTTTCTCCTCCACAATTGCTCTCCCACAAGGAAGTTCCATTTCTCAATCAAGTGCACTTCCTTAGTCTCCAACTCCACCCCAGAACCACCTGATGATGACTTATCGTTTCCAACTCCAAGCTCCGAAACCACCATTAGCCCGGGGAGTTTCCCGATCGAAAGGAGAAGAAAGTCGGAGATAACACGAGAGAAGAAGTCGAAATCCGGGCTTGTCATGCCCGAGCCACCAAACTTTGAGGTTGGTTGGAAGAGGACCAAGGATATAAAGCTAGAGAAGCCAAAGGGGTTTGTGATAGCGGATTTCTTGGAGAAGTTGGAGAGCTTGATGGGCATGGAGTACGGTTCCGCGGAGCTGTTGGCCAAGGCCGGGGAGATGGTGGCGGAGAGAGCTAGAGAGGAAGCTGAAGTGTTGAGAGATGGCGGAGAGGTTGAAGACAGGCTCATCACTGAGTTGTTTAGAGTGTTGAGGCTGATGGAGATGGACTTGGCAATGGTCAAGGCTGCTGTGAAGGAAGAGACTTTGAGTGAGAGGATCGAGCAAGCCAAGGCTCGGTGTAGGCAAGCCATACTTGTTGCTTTGTCCTTTTGAACCTCATAAGAAACAAGAGCACATAAATTATCTCAAAGATGTTAATAACAGTTGTTTTTGGGGTGCCCCATGTTAATATCTATGAACTTTTCAGTACATATTTTTGGCGTTTTCGCCCGTTGGGTTCATAGCTTTTGAACAGAAAGTTTGAACATAAATTCAAATTTATGAGAAAAACACTTCGAAAAAAGGTTTGAATCGTGATTAAAGAATGCTTCATCTCTTTTACATTGTCATTCCTCTTTCCAGGTAAGAAAATCTGGACTGCAGACCACTGACACTACACTTGCATTGCGCGACAATTGCTGTCGCGTTTTCATCACTTAAACGAGGAAGTTCAATTGGTGTAACCTTGTGCTTTTATTAAGTTGTTAAAAATCAGCAACCAAGTAGTTATATAACAGAGGAATTTTCTCTGCTCATCATTTCAAGAATACAGGGGATCAAATTGACCATTGCTAAGCAGTTAACCCCATTGATATTAAATTGGAAAATTGGTAGGGGTAACAAATAACAAGATTAAGCATCCGAGATGAGGAACTGACCATCATCAATTCAGAATTGATAATATTTTGGACCTTATACTGTCTACTTGTAACTAATCTAATTTAAGGCTTTTTCATCTCTTTTCTGTTTTCTTCTTTTCCTTCTTAATTTCTCGAGTGACAGACCCTGTGTAAGTTGTTTGACACGCTTTGATAACAGATCGAACATGTATATCTTCTTTTGGAATTTTTGAGAGCAAGATCTTTGCAGCCTTATGGTCCCCTGCAACCAAGAGAGCTTGGTACATCCTGAAAGCATTCCAAAATATAAAAGGTTAAGAATATCATTCCATATATATTGGAAATGGCAATGGAGCAAGAGTTTGTCAAAAGCAAAACCGAAAGATAAAGCACAACAATAGTCACCTTAAGAAATTTAAAATGTTGTGAGGAAGACCAGCAGCTTCATACTCCTTCCAGACAAATCGGGCATTTTCCAAATCCTTGGCAATAACACAAGCATGGAGCAGAAAATCCAGACATTTTCGTGGGGGAGTGAGGCCGAGATCATCCTTAACAATGCGAAGCAAGTCGAGGCCTATCTGCAAATACTCGGGCTCTGAATGTCCAACTAGGCAAAATACCTGCACATTTTTGAAAGTGTATCCCTTATTGTCAGTTTGGCAATACACAACCACACTGAGGGTTTCTTTTTTTTTTTTTTTTGATTTTGATACCAGAAATCTCCCGAGCTCACTTTGTGAACCCGAGTTAGAAACTGGAGCCCTCCGCCAAACTCTACAATCTTTGGAAGGCAAGGAACTATGGCTTTTGTCATCTAGTGCCCATAAAGTGATTCGAACCCCAGACCTTGTCGGGGCAGACTAAAGGCCTAACATAACAACAGTGTGTTCTATCAAAGATTTTCCACAAAAAAGACATGATTCATGTTTGATAGGATATGCTATTTATGATAGTAATTAGTTATCAATATAAGTGGTTAGTGGTTTAGTTAGTCGGATTATGTGATGTGAGAATTAGAATAAAAGAGTGTTCTAATAGTAAGTCATGGGGGAATTAGTGAATTGAAGTGGGACTTAGTCTCTAGGGAGAGATCAAAGCGTACTTGATAAGAACCAAGATATAGAAGAAATTGAGCTAATTTTCGTATTGAAGAAGTAAACAGAAATAATGAAATACAAGAAGTAAAGCAGGAATTAGTGAACTTAAGTGGGACTTAGCTTTCGAGAGGCTTTGATCTCTCCCTAGAGACTAAGTCCCACTTAAATTCACTAATTCCTGTTTTACTTCTTGTATTTCATTATTTCTGTTTTACTTCTTGCATTTCATTATTTCTGTTTTACTTCTTCAATACAAAAATCAGTTCAATTTCTTCTATATCTTGGTTCTTATCAAGTACGCTTTGATCTCTACCTAGAGACTAAGTCCCACTTCAATTCACTAATTCCCCCCTCCTGACTTACTATTCTAACACTCTTTTATACTTATTCTCACATCACAAAATCCAACCACTAACCACTTATTATATTGATAACTAATTACTAACATAACTAGCATAATCCTATCAATGTTATTCATGGATGAGAAAGGAGAATGCGGATTTTAAAACAGTTAATTGGATCTTATTAACAAAATATAACAACCAGAAGGTAGAAATATGTTTTAACCATATTAAGATAGTCAAATGATTTTAAGCGCCATGTCAACTACATTAGGAAGGAACAATGACAAACCTCATCAAGAACAGCTTCCATAACAAGTTCATCTTCATCTTCGACACATAATTTATCCTTGATTTGCTTGAGCAAATCAGCAGCAGTACTGAAATGTAAAAAGAAAGGGGAAAAAAGAAAAAGGAGAATGAATAAGTTAGGGTATTCTCGAAATATATATACACACACACAGGGTAAAGGCAAAAAATAAAATAAAATAAAATAAAAAGAAAAGGGAATAGAAACTGTCGTGTGAATGGACCTTAAATGCTTGTATCGAACACAGTATAAGATAACTCTGCAGCAACCATCAAGCCAATATCGAGTATCATCCAATTCCTCTAGTAACTGAAGCAAGGTACTTGTCCCTCCATCAGAGTGATAGTGGTCCTAATAGATCGATGAAAAGATTTCATTCCATCAAAAGGGTGACAAAGAATTAAGCTAGTCTCAAAACACCAGCGCTTAATGTGTGTGCGTGTGTGTGTGTGTTTAAATATACATATATAGAGACGACTTTTCAATGTTACTTTCCCGGTTACCCGTCAAACATGGAAATTTGATAACATGATGTGATAAGAATTCAGTTTCATTAATTGTGTATATATTTTAAGAAAAATATTGCTACTCGTCTATTTAACATAACATTTCTTTAGAAAGTTTAAAAGGCATGATATCAAGCAATTATTTATGAAAACTCACAATAAGACCTATAACAGCTTTGGGTTCCAGACTGCATCCAGATTGCTTGATCTCTTCGTATATAGTAAGGGCGTCGGAGAACTGCCCATGTGTTGCAAGAGCTTGGACAAGCACGCTTTTGATTTCATTCAAGTTTTTAGCTGGAATCCATTCATCCGACAGTACCTGAAAAAAAATAGAAGGGTATAAATAACAATCAAAATCTCCAGGAATTAAGAGAAGCACAATGGAGCCATCTCAGAATTCGTATACTACAACCAATGCAGAACGAGGAAAGAAGCTCTTCAACCAAGTAGTAATACATTCAAAGAAACGTTAGCATATAGTTCTTCAATCAAGTCTTGTAATTGTTTTGTCAACACTGTTTCCAATATAAGACCAATTCTGCTTTACACTTCAACTAAGGGAATCAGTACAAGAAAATAGCTAAGCACTAAAATACCTGTTTTGCCTTCTCAAACTGTCCACAACTTGCATATGCATTTATAAGTGCCATGAAAATAGTCTTCGTAAATTGAACTCCAGAAAGCTTTAGTTGTTCACAATACTGTAATCAGATACCCATATCAGCATCTCTTGAGGTCAAATTCAAGGCAAGGGAGATTATTTTATAAGGAAAAGAAAAAACATACATAGTAACTTCAGAGCAGTACAAGTTACGGGTTAAAATAAGAAACAATACTGTTATCATTTTTTAACGAAGTTTATTAAGAGCTTTCTTATGTTTTTTGATAGGAGACTAAGAAAATTTCATTAACAAATGACAACTTTACAGAAGTTTTTGGACGGATGAGAGATCCATCCAGAAAAAGGTAAAAATTACAAAACAACCAGAAACAAAGAGACTAGATGACCACACTGATAATCAGCCACCACTCAGAAATTACAGACCAGAGATCTCCTAAAGCAGCCTAAACCAAACTCAGCATTTAAACAAGTATGGGACATTAAATTTGGAATAAACATAAAGCATTCGATAGCACATCATAACAAAGTTTATCATGATTTCTTTCATCTCGATTTTCCAAAAAAAAAAAAAAAAAAAGAAGAGGCAAATTCTACCTTGTCAATATCCTTCTCTGATTTGCAATTGCTTATTAGATAGCTGAAAGTCATTGAATCTGGTTTGACATCTGCTTTCTCCATTTGCTTGAGAACCATTAACGCCCCATAACTGTTCTTCTGCAGAGTACAGAAAAAGAAAAGTGTTAATGCATACTAAGTATGGTCATCATCCATAAAACATATTAATAAACATTTAGAAATATGACGGGCCACAATGCAACAATAATAATTAAAAGGGGATGGCTGGATATATAACTAAACTTAATGACTGGTAAATTCCTAGTAAGAATATAATCGCGTTCTTCTATGACCGCTAAGCTATAGCTGGCTGTCAATCAATAAAGGCATGAAGAAGTGGGATCAAAGTAAACTGGAAACAAAATACAGCCTCTAAACAAAGCCCGGATCTCAACAAATTGCGATAGAACATGTTGCTAGGGTCACATTTTGCTGACCTTTAGATCATGTTATTTCACACAACTTCAGTTCATGTATTTTAAACCTTTATCAGTCCTTTTCAGTTGCTTTTGACTTGATTCAAAAGACTATTATACATATGAAGATGAAGCTGGTCTCTCCTGAGTTTCTACCCTTAGAACTGCGACAACTCAGGATTTTAGTACAAAGGAACACAAAAGTGCACGTATAAGCATTCACTTTTGGACAAGAACAGAAAGGACAAGTTCAATTGAAAGTTTATTATTTGTCAAATATCATAATTTTTATTATAATTACAGACAGTCATCCAAGAAAAATAGAGTAAAATAGGTCCAAATAAGCAAAAATGTGATAGCTGCAGGAGTCTATCCATTGTACATAGGCTTTAAACACATTGTGACATAACTGTGAGGCAAAGTAAGGACCCAAAAGATTGAATGGGACAGTTAAAAGACAAATGAATCCCCAAGGCCCTCCTTTACTTTTTGCAAGCATACGCGCAAAGAATACAGCATAAGCATCTTAAAAAAATCAGTAAAACGACCTCACGGAAATATCCGGCCATTATAGAGTTGTACATGTTGGCTGTGGGCGTCACATTCATTTTTTCCAAATCACTTAGAATGCTGTACGCAGCGGCAACCTACAAAATCAAGTCACCTCAAAATATTAACATTTGTATAGAAGGAATAATACCCAATGGAAACTGAGGCATGTGCTTACATCTTTCATTCTCATGCACAAATTTATCATCAGCCTGAACGTTTTAGCTTTTGGCTTTAACTTGCGGTCACAGATCAGGGAATATACTCGGTGAACCTGGTGAGTAAAGCAGGAAAAAAGAGATATAGAACAACATAAAGTTAATAACATATTAAACCAGAAAGAGTTAAAACTGGAAACTCATTATCATGCAAAGGAATATAAATAGACAAATTATAGTATAAACTTCATGATTGAAATCCAAAAGAGAGAGCCAGAAAACTTAGAGAAGTACAAGAGTAGTATAAGCAAATTAAAACGTATTGTAAATCGTTAGGACCTATTTGTTATCCAATCATTGCCACTGTTTTGATTTTTTTTCTTGCACCATTCTTTCTCTTTCCTTAATTCTTATTTTCTTTTAAAATTTATTAACTTCGGGGAGGGACGAGGATAGGTAAGGTGGCGTCATCCTTTTAATGCATTTGGATCGACGTTTCACTCTATCTGACACTGCTTGACTAATTATGCATTTACCTTTGTTATTAAATCTCTGAAACAACCACAGCAAACTCCAATTTTCTTTCCGGGATATTAATGTTAAAAAGTCTTCAACAGTTATGGTGACTGTAAGCATTTGTGGGCTTCACATGTTTCTTTCTTTTGTTTTTTGTTTTTTGTTTTTGTTTTTTTTGTTTTGTTTTCTCCTTTTCTTTCTTTTTCTCTTTTTTAGATATGCATTCCAGTTTGTTTTAGCTTCACCATTCTCTAGAACGGAAATGGACTTCTGGAAGTATCTTCAAATTGGAACTTGGTAAAAGATAATATTTACCCCTGCAGATGCAAAAAGGGTTAAGAAATGCATCTTACTAGATTATAATCGCAACTTTCTTCACAAGCGTGTAAAATATGGTTTATTGCCTCAATGGACACCGTCAGACCTCCTTTAAACACTTCATCAACCAAATCAAGAGCATCATGCACCTACATTTGATTGACAAAACAAATAACTTAAGTCAGTGCAATATTCAATTACAAAACGAATTAATAAACATCATAAGCCATACTTTCTAATAGTTCTTTTAACCAACAGAGAAGTCATACCTTAAGTAGAGTACAACAGTATTTGATAAGATTCTCATACGCTGCAGATGAGGGTGCCACTTCGAATTTCTCGTGCAAGTTTTTGAATGTTGAGAAAACATCTTCAACCTTCAACACCCAAAAATAAACATAAGAAACACAAATTTAAAAATGTGAAACAATCAACGAGATATTTCACTTCTTGTCCTTCATGTGAACTACTAAGACTGACAAATAATATTAAAGCCTATATCTCAAGCACATAACATGGAAGAGAAAGAGATGGTTGGGTGTTGTTACAATCATGTCATACATGGTTGACATCAAATTCCTTGGTTCCCCCATAAAATAAAATAAAAAAAATCTCTAATATAGTCTACGACCCCAAGCCACTATTGGAGATCCTCATGTGACGCATATAAAGTGTCAATACCATATTTGTATATCAGACAATGCAGATTTTCACCCAGAAGCAAACTGCATGAGGAGCAGAAGTGCCTCTTGTAACAACAACCCTAAGGAAATTACCAGCAGTATTCATGGGAAGTTCCTACCGCTAAGTTTGGGTTGCCAATTGCGTAACTAGAGAGGAAGTTTGAGAAATTCTCTGCTCCAAAATCTGCAACATAATTAAACATACTCGCAATTCAACATATGGGAAGGAAAAAAAAAAAAAAACACACACACACACACACACAATAAATCTATCATTGAACAAACTTAAAAATCTGGTAGACTAGATAATATGCCATACAATTAAAAAAAAAAAGTTTCAAGTCGTTCACAAATAAAGTTTCAAGGTGAAATGATGTAATAGTCGACAGGAATTGATTCCAGCTTATGAACTTACCACGAGCTTTGAATGCATTAAGAAACTTCTCCACAAAAGCATCCAATTGTACCTTTCCTAAGGATTTAAAGATAGCTGCTGCACAGTTCACTGACATCTTCGTAATATCAATGATTTCATAAAGCTTCAAAAGTTCCTTCTCCCTGCCACCTTCGCAGAGCGCTAACAAGTAATTTTCTACAACATGAGATAAAACCTGTAAGGTAATTGACAATACCAATGGCAAAGACCCAACATTGCAATAAAAGAACATTATCGATAGTTACTCTTAAAGCAAAAGCATCAACCTTGTAAACTGGAGTTGCTTTCCCCTTCCTCAGTCACAATATAATTAATGAGCTCCTGGATCTTTTCCTCATCATCAACTTTGATCCACATCAACATCTCATAATATCCTAACTTACAAACTGCATTAGGATTTGCATCTTTGATAACTCCAAGAAAGAAAAAGAATTCTTGTATCATATCCATCTCTATCAAAAAAACAAGAAAGGGACCGAAAGTTTCATCTTCTAGCTGAAAACCGTGTTCCTTCATCGATTTGAAAAATACATAAGCCCTGTGAATCTGTTCTAGTGCAGCATCTTCATCCTCAGTGCTCCTAGCCGTCTCTATGCATACCTTTAGTAACGCATTATACTCTTTTACACTGGTTTCCCTTCCCAACTTACCGAAGACACCAAAAGCGGTACCTGGTCCTACCTTGTCTGCACACATGTTAACTAATCGATTGAAACGGTTAACCTGGGTGCTTTTGAAAAACCATTTATGTTTCCTTTCGCGTGTTACTTCTTTACGATGCAACGATATGCCACTGGGAGCAAGAGATGGAAACCATGGTATGCTTAGTTCTCTCTCGAAACTGTCATCTGCTTCGACAAAATCATCTTCTTTCTCATCACGTGAACTTTCCAAAGCATCAGCAGCTGCAAAAGAAACAAAGTAAGGACATAGCACCCCATTTGGCAAAGAGAATAAACCTATTGCAAAATAGTTGATGATGCTAAGCCAATACCGATTTTCTGGAAAACAAGTAACTCTAAAAGATGTGGAACAGATAGAACAATGCTAAAGAAGCTTGAAAAATGACAATGCTAATTGAGCACATAACTTTCCAAGAGCATTAAGTTTCCCAAAATGGCTTAAGGAAAATTCTTTACTTTCTTATTATCTCTTGAATGCCTGACTTCAGACATTAGGGGTAAAAAAGTACACTTCCTAACATTTGTGCATTCCCAAATTCAAGAAACAAAGATTTGCAGCACCAACACAATAGTGATAAGCTCTTCTGGGTTCCCACTAAATTAGTCAAAATCCTTTAAAGCAATTAGCTCATAAACATGGGAAAATTGTGAAATTTCCAGACTTCATTATATCTATTATATGTAATTCTCCAAGCGACAAAGATGAACCTAAAAGGAACCAACCTCGATTATCACCGCTAAAACAATATATACTTACTAATCAATATAGAAGATATCCTCTGCAATACCCAACAACTCCTCACATCCAAACCCGGAGAATCCACTGCGTTAAAAAAAAAAAAAGTATTAAGACCGAAAGAAACAAAAAATAACAATAAAATAATTTCCATATTCCATTACTTGGGCAGGTTCTTCATTTCACATGAACCAAAACCCAAAAATTTGTTAGAATATTGAAATTAGTACAATGACGTAAAAAGTGGTCTCTCCTATAGTTCCGTAAGCATTTTGCAAATAACTATTTTTGAAAAGTTATTTCACTAATAAAATTTTCTTTTTTAGTCATTTTTACAAACACCAAAACCCCAAAGTTCAAATTTTGTTTCCTTTCCATTTCTTTTCCAAATTCTTTCTCATCAACAACAAATCAATATACCAGAACTCAAAGCCGAATCCAAATTGGAACTGAAGCGAACAGACTCGGAGACAGATTCTTCGCGGGATTTCTCCGCGAACGAAGAAGAAGATAAAGACGAAGACGACGGCTTGGGAAGTTTGGGAGACGACTTATAAGCTTTGTTGTTGGTGTTGGTTGTGAGGACTCGAGAAATGGTGGAGACGGTTTGTCCTTCGGAGGCGTTGAGAGCGGAGACGAAGTTCTTGAGAGTGCTGTCCTCGACGGCGGCGGTTGAAGCTCCGACAATGGCGGTTGCTTTGGCTTTGGCTTTGGCTTTGGCTTTGAGCTTGGGTTTGCGATTGGGCTTGATATTTGCTTTAATGGCGGAGCCGAAGAAAGAGCTTAGGCTCGATGTCTTCGAGGCGGGCATTTGAGCTTAAGCCCCTCCTTTGCCTGGAAGGATTTTTTGGGTTTTTTTGCTTTAATGGAGGTTTTGTGGTTTTATACCCCCCCTTTCTCTCTCTCTCTCTCTCTCTCCCATTTCTCTCTTTCTCTCTCTAGCTATTTTTGTTTATATATTATATAATTTCAATTATGCTCATTTTTACAATGTTTTTGGTCTTTTTTTTTGTTTTAAAAATTTATTATTTAATGCTATAAAGTAATATTTGTGACTTGTTTAATTGTATTTTTTTGTGTGTGGAAAATTGTCTATTTGTCAGAGGACCTAAATTAACAAATGAAAGTGAAAGTGAATAGATTTTTGAGATTTATTATTATTATTATTATTATCATTATTATTATTATTATTATTTTGCATTTGTTTTTGGGATAAGTAAGTGAGCTTTTTAGCCGTTGTGTGGCTTGTCCTAGGGCGCGGACAAATGCTGTCTCAAACCGTTTTAGGAAACATAAATACGACAAGTGCGATTTTGTTTACCCAATTAAACGACAGAAAAATTATAAGATGCTAAGATTATGTCATGTAGAAACGACAACAGAATTTTTCTTAAAAACACCGGCGAGAGGAATTCAGTTTGTTAAATTTTTAAATAAGTGAATGTAAATTTTTTCAGAAGGGACCAAAATGAAACGGAATTTTAAGAGAATATAAAACAAAAGAAAAAGAATAACATTTTTAAAATAGTAGTGGTTGTAAGTATTGATTAAAATAAAAGACTTAAAAAGAAAAGAGGGAGGGAGTGTACGGTTTCAATCGCAACGGTCGGGAGAGTATATCTTTGATTTTTCAATATATTGATTTATTGATGATAGATTATATAATATACATATTTTTTCTTAATAAAAGGTAATTTTATAAATAATGCTTCAGGTTTACTCTCAATGCGATTTTGATTCCTAACTTTTTAAATGTCCTATAATTGATCTCTAAGATTTTATTTTATTTCAGCTCCAGTCATTCTGTAAACTAAGCGTTAAAAATTAATGAAATTTGTGTAAAATATAGACCAAAATTGAAAACAAATAAAATTTTAAGACTATTTGTAAAATTAACTTTTTTTGTATTGTTTTAGTCTCTAAACTTTATATGTTTCTAAATTTAGTCTTTAATTTTCACAAATTTCTTCAAATATTTAATACCAAACTAATAGAAAGACCAAAACTAAAATGGAAAAAAAAACCTTTAACGATTAATTATGAGACGTTTAAAGGTCAGAAGCCAAAGTAAAATTAAAAGTAAACCTCAAAAATTATTTATAAGATTAACCCTAATAAAATTAATACTATATCTCATTTCTCAAACAATCCAGCGCATATGATTTATATTTTCATTTTTAAGTTTATTATATCATTTTCGTGGATTTTCTAATTCTAATATTTTTTATACCCACTTTTGACAATATTGTCGTTTTTTATTTTGCTTTCAGTATATTTACAACTGCTTTAAGTAGTTTTCTTTTTTTAATTCTATTACTAATTAAGTTGATACAACTCTAAATATAAGGGTATTCAACTACAAATAAAGACCGAATCTATTAGTAAAGATGAAAGAGGCATAAAGATGAACAATAGTGTAGAGACCCGATAAGAAATGGTTGGCTTAGCATATTACGAATTGAGCACGACAAAAACTAGTTTGACAAACCATTTTAGTCAATGGATAAAATTATTTGACCGAGATCAACAAAAGATTCAAAACATTAGAGTCACTTATAACACTGTATAAGATTAAACCTAACAGACTAAACCTACCACAACTAAAAAAAAGTGAGACGGGAACTTTAGTTATCACACAACGAAAACATAAATGTTGAAACATCGCCTTATTATATCAAATAAAAACTAAAAATAAAACATAAGTCCCAAGCCACACGGACAAGATTATCGATAATAAGCCGGCAAATAAGACCATAGAGGATATATTGGTAAGCATCTACGTGACTCCAAATGAAGATCCATGCGACTCCACCCACCGGCGTTAAGTGCCCATCTATCAACCTTTATCCCATTGACCATCGCGATGAAGAGAGTGAGATTTCGAGGTTGTAGGAACATCAGAGATCCAATGTGCATCACATGGTCGATCGACTGAAAACCCACCACCTCCAAGCCTTCCCCTCTACCCACAAAGTCGACACTACCACCATGATCATCTTCATCGGACCTAGAGCTCCGTCTCTAGGACTGGGGGTTCAACAACTAGCCAAGGGGAGGCACCAAACTCCAGGCCGAAAGAAAAAAGAGAGCGGTGCACAAAGGAAAAAAAAAAAAAGAAAAAAAAAAAAGAGAAAGCCTAGACAGACAGAAGGAAAGAGAGGAATTTTGTTTTCTCGTCACAACTACTGAAGTCCTTTTTTGTTTTTTTTTTTTTGTCATTTTAATTAGTAGTAGTTGTCTTTTCTGAAATAGTTTTTATGTTGTTTCTCAAGGATTACGTCGTTTTCAGTTTTTTGTTCCTTTTTCTAGTTCTTGTAGCTTAAAACCGTTGGCGTTGCATGCGCATTGCCGCCTTATTCTCTTTATGTATCCTTTTGAACTTTGATGATTTTGTCGTTTCTTATTTTGTACTTGTTTTGTGGTTAATGTCTCGCTTCAGACGTTGATGTCGTGTTTCAGGAGCCGTTTTAAACTGTTTTAAAATATTATGGAGCATTTTAAAACTGAGTACATATTTCAGAGGCGTTTATAAAAATAATTCTACTTAACATTATTGGAGTTTATTATTTTTGTCATCGTTAAGTTAGATTGTTGTTGCTTTCCGACTAATGACCGTTTTTAATTGAGTTGCCTACTGATTGAACTCCACAGATTAAGGATCATTCCGCAACTCAATATAATAAAAAACTAATAGTTTGGGATTTTTCTAATGGAAAAAAGAGAGAAATTCTTTAGAGTGTATGAGTCTGGATTTTTAACTTTAATTATTAATTAATACAATTTTTAGTTAAATAATTATATTAATTAAAAGAATATTAATCACTAATAAAAGGTTAAAGCTTAGACTCATGCACTTTAGTAAATTCAATAATTTTATCTTTTAACCTAAGATTTGGGTCCTGCCATTATTCTAATAGTTGTCGTTTCTCACTCTTTTTGGCATATTTGTCGTTTTTTTTTAACAAATTCTGTTCTTTCTTGTTCTGCTATCGTAACATTAACTACCAAATTAATCCCTTAAAGAATAATAATTAATCCAAAAATAAAACAATTTAATTTTTTTTCCTCTCTTTTACCCTTGCTATAAAGGGTTATGTCTTTATCTTTTTACAGTGCACCAATTTTCTCTTCATTAAAATTTTCACTTTCCCAATTTCCAAAAAAGGTTTCTTGAGAAGCAAGAAACCTACCAGCCTAGTTCAAGCTGTAAACTTTCTCAGAAAACAAACCGTTATGCATGAGCAATACAAAGTTTCTGTAAATGGGAATTCAATCTTAAAAGTGTTTTCAAGTGCATTTTTAGTATTCTCCGAAGTCTCTGATCTCTTCCAACTCCGACCGTTTTTGTTCTGCAATTAAACTCTGAAGAAATTAAGCCAGCCATGCACCAAATCAAACCCATTAAATTCTCTACATTCTGATTTCTCATTTCAGCCACAGATCTCTGCTTCTTTGCATGGCAATTTGGAAAAGTCTCAGACACAGGTACTCTCTCTCTCTCTCTTTTTTTTTTTTTTTTTTTTTTTTTTGCATTTTAGAATCTTCTTTTTCTTTTCATGTGTTGCTTTTACGACATGTTTCTTTTGTTAATATTGCGTATCTTTCTGTTTCACCTTATTTAGCTGCTAATTCTTGGTGTTTATTGGTAATGATTGTATAAAGATGAGTTTGTAGCAATTCCCAGATTTTTTTTTTTTTGGAGGATGTATAAATAGTTTGGTTAAGTGATTATGGTTCAAAGTTGCTAATTATTGGTGAGATTATAGTTCTTTGAATGTTTCTAATAAGAACAAAAATTATTCAAAGTTGTAATTTTTTTTTTCCTTTCAAACTGCTTTAGATGATAATTTCTCGATTTTCTTGAATAAATAATGACATGTCTATAGCTACTTGTAATTCATATATATATATAATTTTTTTTTCTCTCTTCAATAGATAACAGTATTAAATTGTAAAGAAAAGTTATGTGGATCTCATATGTGGCTGCTACAAATATAGAGAAACAGGTGGTACCCCTGGAAACGATTTTTAATTTAGTCCTAACTGATTCTTTTTTTGAAGTAATTATTTTAGGTGGAAATTGAAAGTAACGGTTAGAGTCTTATAAGATAATAAGTATAATGAACACACGTAAAATAAATGAACACATGAGAAATGATATCGCGGTTCGGTAACACCCTACTCCGCGGGGTCACGCCCAGTTGATGAACAATCCACTAAGAATTCTTTTACAATTCAATTGGTCTTAATCTACCCGAGACTCATTCCCTAAGAAGACGCCTATGAACTTGCAATTTCCTAATGGACTAGAACAGCGAGATCCCATCGACTTTTTAGTATTGGAATCTCTCCAACAAAGTTTTTCTCTAAAAAATACTCAAATTATCTCTCTTGAATACAAGTGCTCACCTCTCACAAAACTCAGCAATAACTTCATCAAAAGGTGTACAATAAACTAAGAGACTCTTTGAATAAATAGGCAGAAGGAAAACAGCTTGTCGACCTCTTCAAAATAAATCGCTGAATCAAATCTGTTGCAGATCCTTATTATAACAATAACTGTAACATAGCTGTCATGGTCGACTTTTTCCAATCCAATCCGTATCAATTTCCTTTCTGCTGAAACCTTCCCAAAACTGTAATATGAACCTGGACACGTTCTTGGAAAACAAAGGCAGATCATACAGCTATGAAATCTCCATAAAAAATCAATCAAATCAACCTACCATCTTTGGATCAAAAGTTGACTTTCAAAAATAGAAACTAAAATAAGTTTCCAGTTCTTTCATAAAACTTCCATAAAGATCTTGCCAGCTGCACATCTAATTTCAACCCCAATTAACCAGCCAAACATTCCCAAAATAATGCCAATCACAAAACCAATAGAGTCAATACAAAATTCGGAAAACAA